AAGAGCAAACCCAATCACCTGTTCACCACATTATCCAGAGTATCAAGGACAAGACGAAAAATGAACATAGACTTAAGTAAACATTCCATTCATCAGCTTTGCCAAAGAATTTGAAGAAACAAAACAAAATCTGACAGGGATACCTGTCAAGTGTCATATTCTCGTCTAGAGCCTGGAAACAAGGCCAGAAAAGTCTGAATATTCATAATGACCCAACCACATGCAAAAACAGCCCAAAAGGACCATTTATTTTCTTAAAAATAACTGTCGTAAACATTTGTTTTACGTATCCAAAGGTTAGGAAGACTTTTCTTTTGTTTTTTACATCATTTCACATAAAAAGGCCTGAAGCCAGGGCCAAATTTCATGGAGCTGTTAACAATCAGCAAAAAAAGTTGTGCCAACAATAGAAGAAAAGTTTGCTGACCTTTTTAAAAGCAATTTCCAAGGATGGATTTGCGCCGGGGAGATGTGAATTACATGTACTTTTGGATTTTTTGCCCTGCCCAACGTGTATTATAACATTGTATACTCAGTCTTTGTCATAAAGGCTTGTGAAAGAACAAGCATACTCGGGTGGGACTCGAACCCACAACTTCCTGCTTACTAGTGCAGACGTCTTAACCACTCGACCAGTGAGCTTGCCGGTGTCAGCTGGCTGGTTTAAGTCTTTGTGTGTTTAAAGCACAATTTCATGGTAGTGCTTGGCCTGGTTGTGCTTAGAGTTGCGTGCACTTAGAGAGATATCCATTGTTTTGTCACTATGCTAAGCAAATTTTTCCTACGAGGTAACCACACCGGTTGCCCGGCTTACTGCTAATTGGTCTCCATAAAAATCATGTGCTTAGTAGCACCCTGAAATTGGGCCCGGGCTTTTTGTCCGGGAGGCTGGCATCCCCAGCTGGTCATTCTGCTAGACAAGTACCCAAGTTAGGAGCAGAATGTTTTGCATTGGTACACATGCTGTGAGAATTTGAGGTCTGCTTTTTTTCCATCACATCTGCATAAAATCTCTAAAATGTGAATTGGTTAGCCTTGTGGAAATCACAGGCATATATGCCACATGCTGGTACAAGGCCAGATGAATAGGACAGCATTGCCATAAAAAAAATCAAGGCCGTAACATTACAATGTGCATCTCGGTGATTATAGATGCTAACATGAAAGTGAACATAAAATATGGCAGCTTTACATGCCACAGGAAAATAAAAAAAAAACGGGAACACTAATTACTGGCATGCTCTGCTTGCTACCCTCACCTGCGTAAGGGGTGAATCAATTTTGTGTATCTTTTTTTTTAATGCAGTGTGCAAAAACAGACAAACACCTGAATGATTACACCTCTAAAATCCTCAGTTTTGCGGGTCAAAAATCTAGAAATGTGCTCCACCTTTGAAAGTGATTTCTACATTTTTGAGTAAGTGATGAATGAAGTGAGGTACGTTTAACGAGGCAGATGTTCATTGTGTCTGGACCTTCCAAGAAATCATTCTATTGTCCCATCTCCTTTGTGGACAGCAGCTCTCTTGCAAGCATTGTCAGCAACATTACGCAGACCACACCAACAACAGAGCCAAGCCCTCCAATTCCCTTTATCAGTGACATCACCTATAATCTCCCCGACCACAAGTCGGGAACATTATTACAGCTTGCCCAAATACGGGACTAAGCCACATTATAAAGCAATGGTGATATTGATCACTTGCTGTTACCGGGCTGGGTCAGCATGCATCTGGGACATTAATCCTGTGTCCTCCGCAGCAAATCTCCCCACATCCGTTTGCCAACACCCCACCCCAGGGGAGAAAAGAAAAATCAATGAGTACAAAAGGGACAAGAGCATCAAGGCCACTTCCAGCTTCGTAACTTTAATGAGCTTTTCTTTTCATATCCTGACGATGAGAAGACAGTGCGACTTTTAACAATAGTTAGATGTATAAATCTCCCCTCAAGGACCTCATTAAGGCCTGGATGCGAGGCCAGTCTTGTCTTAGATGCAGATGAGATGCTAGACCAATTAACAAAGCTGTGGAGAAAGATCACATGGCCAAATTACGCGGGTACACACGCACATATGCGTAACTGGACAACGTCCAGGCCAAGTGAAATCTTACAACAGTATTTCTTGTTGTCTTTTGAGCTTTGCAAACAGTGAAATTTCGAGGCGAAATGTAGCGAGCGATGATGAAACGGTGTGGGTACAAACAACTGAACAGAAGGAAGCAAATGTTTCATCTCCATACTCCACCAAAAATTCAACAGACGGTTTGGGGACAACGATTTGGAAGGTGTCTTGACAGTGCAGGCCCATCAACAGTGACGTCCCATTGTTGTTGGACTTGAAGTTGCAACCCAAATAATTGACACAGACACCGACAGATTGCTGGACACGGACAAATCCGGGAGCCTTCATAGCAAGGAGGCTCAGAGGTAACCAAAAAAAGCCAATACAGGAAAACTGACATAAATAATGAGTACAAACTACCGCGCACAAACGACAATTGAATGGTAAAAAAAAAAAATCCTTACAAGAAAAGAAATGATGGACATTTCCTTCAGAGATGCCAGACACTCCTGTACTTGTTGACAAATGCTAAACTGAAATCACAGTCGAACCTGCTTCAATGTCACTGTACAGTGTCAGCTCTTGTAACTTTTCTTGATGAGAAAGGTTGTGTCCAGCACCCAACAAATGAGGTATCTCTCCGAGCAGTGATACTCAAGATGAAGTTGGCACCAGTTGACAAACCAATTGGGGGAGAGTGAGCAGGACGAGATTGACCAACTCAACCGTGAATTGCCGCTGCACCGTGAGAAATGCCCCAAGTGCGAGTAACCCTTTTAACAAGAAGTAACACCGACAAAAATTGATGATCACAGCGGACTCAATTGTATTTGAGCTGCTGAGGGAAAAGATTATAACGAGGTGAGGAAATGGCTTTGGGGGGCATGTGTCTCCAACAATGCAAGTCACAAACATGAAAATCAGATATTTTTGGGGAAGAAAAATGACAGAAAACATTATTTCAGCAAAGCAAGGAGATCTACCGTGGCCAGTTTTGGGGGTTCAATTCGGCAAATTTCCTCCAGGTCAACTAACTGTACCTGAGATGGTTCGGGGTAACTAGCTAGAAGTGTTACCAGGCAGTGATAAAACTACATGACAATGGGGCAAAGCTGCTAGATTAGCCTACAAATTGAAACCCAACTTGAAATGAATCCTTTGTCAGATGACAGAGTAGTCGCTGTGCACTTAAAGGGGAACAGAAGCGTGAACGTGTTCAGGATCTACCTTTAAACTAACATGACACCTGACAAGTCTCTTTTCAAGCAGATTCCCTTCCCACTAGCAACGGAGACCCCTTTTTATCCATTTAATAGCCTCTGAAACTAGTTTAAGGTTAATCAGGTGTACCATCCCAGAGGTTCATTCTCCTTCTTCAATATTCCATACGATTTAATCAGCCAGTATACAGCTACATCATTGTTTGTCTCCTGTCAATCAGAACGAGGCCTTGAAGGGAAAACGGTTCTACGGCAGCAAACATAGTGACCAGGCGACCATGAAAACAAGACATAATCCTCAACAATTTCAAAACAGGAACCATGCACCAGCGTAATTTATCAAATTCAGGATGAACATTAACCCTAACCCCCTAGGGTGTATGTAAAATTGTATTAGAATTGGAAGATTTGGGAGTGTTAGGGTTAATATGAAAGTGCTTTGTACACACAAGTGAATCTAGACCAAGTATTTCTCACTCGCATCCTTTTGCTGTGGCACTTTTAACACCGTGATGATTATTCACGGTACTCCTCCAATGTCAGCTCGCACAACAAAGCGCCCGGAGAAATCTGTGCACATTTTGGGCGGGGGGGAGGGGGGAGTCATGCCGGCAATTACATGCATGTTGCTCATTTGAGAGCAGCTGGTGCTCTTTAAATACAGATTGCATTGGTTGTTTGTTTTTTTCTTGTAGTGAATGTGAACCGCGGATCGGATCAGATCCCAACTAAAAATTATCTCTTTCTCAGGGTCACTGAGAATGCATTTCTCCCATCAGATGCACATAATTGCCACATCTGCTGCTGTCAAAGTCTGTGTCCTTTTGTGGCAGTTTGGGACTGGTTTTGAAGAGAGAGGGAATACAAAAACTGTAATTGGACCCGCAGGTTAACAAACAACTTGTTCATTTGTTCAAATCTACTTTTAATGGCCTTGCCTCTGGGTTTTAATATAAATTACTCAACAACTGATTTGGCTGCTTGCTGTATGTAATTTGTTCAAATTGCAAAAAAATGGTGCCAAACGCTGTGCAAAGCGAGTATGAAAGACAGACATGATGTATCAGAGACACACATGGAAGCCTGGAAAGGGGGCATGTGCTGGAGAAAGTGAAACCGTGGACATTTGTTATACTCGGGATACGTGGCAGACAACAGATGTCCAAAATGAGGGAAACCCAACTCTGATTGAAAGAGCACTCATTTGTGATTCAGAGACAGACGGAGCTGTTGAGCTTCACAAATTATTCATATCACTCATTCCATTTTACTGCCTCACTGATTCCAAAAGTACCAACAGTTGGCAGAAAACTAAAGGCAATTCTTCACTAATGGGTTGGTGGAAGACGAGGCCGCAATGCAGGCATAAATCAGCATTGGGATCGCTCAACCACACAGCTCATGCAATTCCAATAATCGAAATTTCGGCATTCCAATCGATCCAATATACATATAAGTATTTGGTGGTACCAAATTCCCAAAAAGCAAGAACACAATGCATGTTTGTGGGTTGGCCCACAAGTTCCAGTTTCGCCCTTGGTTAAAGGAGGATGTTGGGAGACCAAGTGATGTCTCGTCCCAACTGATGCTTTATTTCCTTGGAGACCACACAAAATTTCAACACACCTGCAATGCAGTAACCACACAACTGAAAGCTTCCCACTTTACCTCACTGATTTTTCGCCTCTGAAAATTTGATTTCAAAAGATGCTTACCTTGCCCCCGATGATGAGACCGGCCGAGAAGTCGTGCTTTTTCCCCACTTTGCACAGCACCTCAAACGTCTGGTAGGCTAGCTCACGTGTAGGTGATATGATGAGAGCGCCCAGCCCATCGACCCTACTCCACCTGCTCCGATACAGACATTCCAGCACCTGTGCAGGAAAACCAGTGCTGTCATTGTTATTACTATTGTTAAGTATTTCTGGTAACGAAATAACAGATTTCTCAAAAGCCCCCTCGGCACCGTGGCTCGTGAGCTTGAAGAAGCCAGTAGAGAGGAGACAATGAGAGAAGCAGCACTTTTCGAGGTGGGAGGAAACCCAAGAAGAATGTTCTAGGTCAAAGCCAAAGAATCAAGTAGGGACTGAAAACCCAATCCACATGCGGACCAAGCTGGGAATCGAACCCTGGACCGTAGAGGTGGAAGGCAAGGAATGAACCACCTCACAAACCTGACTCCCGTAAATGCCATTTATCCGATTGAAAAGACACCAAAAAGTCAGATCTTACAAAAGTTATAAACCCAAACCTTTGGCGCAATTCAACAAGCAGAATGGCGAATCAAACACTGCCCAAAATGCTAAAACAAATACTCTTTGGCTCTCTGATAGTTACTGTAATATGTCGGAACTTGATAGGTTCATTATCATCTCAGTTCGAGCATACAACATGTAAGAGAGCAAAAAGGAACCACATGGATGCATTCCTGCTTGCATGCTGTCTGAAGACTTTATATGAATCCCAGAGTTTTCAAATGACATCTATTTCAATAGCTTATAACACAACTCTATTTCATTTATGTCACCGACCACAGTAACGAGGGGTCCGTCACGTCAACACCCAAAATGCTTGTGTGAATAAGCGTGGGGACATGTGGTCTAGTGGGTAGGGTTTGTAACTTCTGATCATAGGGTCAGGGGTTCGAATCCAGCTGGTGGCAGCATGTTGTGATCTTGGGCAAGTCACTTTACCCCTATTTGCCTCCCTCCACCCAGGAGTAAATGGGTACCTGTGACACGGTTGTTTAGCCGTTTTTGAGTCGAAATGGCAGCACCGGGCTAGTATACTCTTTTTCTTGTCCTGCCAGAATTTTGAAGCAAATTTGCTGTTATGCCCAGTGGCAGATGTTAGAGTCTCTTAAGTGTGATAATTCCACTTTTTGATCTTTAGAGGGTATTTTCAAGTTGCTGAAGCTTTGTTCACCCTACTTGCATGTGTTGACACTTGTTGAAGCTAAATAGCACGACCGATCCAACCAGCTTCTCTCATGTGCTGGTTCTGAAGTACCGGTACATGTTCTCAAACGTCAAAAACCTAAGACAAAAAACACAGATGGAGGTGGCACCTAGCAATTTCACGTCACTTACAGGTATGAGGAAGGCCAGCGTCTTGCCCGACCCCGTCTTGGCTGCTCCAAGTATGTCATGGCCCTGCAGGGCCAGCCCTACGGTGGCCCGCTGTATCTCGGTTGGCGTCCTGTAGTTGGCTGAGCACAGCCCAGTTTGGGTCTTCACTGACAGGGGCAAGTCAGCAAAACTGTTGATGTTTTCTGGGTCGATCTGCAGAAAAGCAACGTAAAATCAAACGTCAGTAAAACTGTTCTTGTACAGGTTGTCTGATTTAAATTCGGGACATTTATATCGGTGATTAAGCCAACTTGACATTTCTGCCACTGATTTCTGAATAGTTTTCACAAGAAGCAAGATGTCAAGGTTCAACTTCACCAAATGAGAATCATCCACCTGTATTTATCCTCAGGTTGTCTGCATTCTGCATCTATTTCCCTCAATAAAATCAGACGAAGCTGTTTTCCAACATGAACATCACCTATTTCGGGATGTAAGTTCTCTGTAAAATGGAGAGATGCATTTTTCTGCTAGAATTTCATAAATTTAGCCCAATTGCCAGCGCTGGTAAGAGTTTCACATTTCCTGCCTAGGCCTACAGAGTACAGTTATTCTCTACAAATTTCAAAATGACAAAAAGTGTCTCAATACACAAAAGACTTGTCAAGGCTGTGAGAAAGTTTCACCAAAGAAAATGCACATGGGAGGGCGAAACAGTGGAGGGGTCCTAATAAGTAGTATACCGATCAACAGTGCCTTCTTCAGCTTGAACCTTTGACTTAAGGGAGAGAGTTTCGTATACGGACAATACTTGATGCCCCTTTGCACACATCTATGAGACTTGTCCGAAAAAAAAAGATTAAAAAAAAATAGTTTGGAATTTTCTTAGCGACATTTCACTTTTTAGAATGACTTGTCACTTTCTGACGGCTGTTATAACATTTAAAGGGAAAATTAGTGTTGTCCGTATATGAACTCTTTCTGACTGAAGTTCAGAGTGAGTTAAATTGGCAAACATACATGACACAACCACCCCACAACCAATACCATTCCATCATGTCTATCTCTAACATGTCTAACAAACTACAGCGAAATGTACAACCATGGCCACCATATCTGCATGTCTGATTTATTTAATGGTGATCGTAAAGGGTATTTGTGGCCAACAGTCATGCCAGTAATCAACGTACTGTGCTGGCTACTGCTGAGGCATGGTGGAGATCACTCATTGACCTGTCCCATCCCGTGTGTAGTCTCCAGATGTCTAACAGACGGCCTCTGAACACAGGGACCGGTAGCAGGTAATGAATCTGGCAGAATCCTGCCGGGTGTATGTAAATGAGGAGACTCTACCTGCTCAATGCACAAATCAAGCAGGAGCTGATAACACTTGCTTCATACTGAAGCCTTGAAGGTTTATTAACGCACAGGCAAAGTGCTGGAGGAAGGCAACATTTTAGTCAAGAGGGTGAGCGCGGTTACCAAAAATAACTTCACAATAAAAGGTTCATTTTACAACAAGTACTGATTTGAAATAAATTGCCATAAAATGATTTACTGATTGATAATCATCAAAAATTGAATTACCACACTGTGATCAACAGACACAAGGCTTGGCAAAGATAGGTATGTTGATAGGCCTACATGCATGACTTGTGTGTTATTCACCTCCCCGCTGAAACATATTTTATGTTTGGCCTCCTAATTAGAATCCCTAGAGAATGTTTCAGGACGAAACCATCCAAGTCAATTGAAGTAGGCCTACTGTGCAGTCTGGTAGTACCAAGAAAGCAGGGCTACAGTAGTAGGCCCTAATTTTGGCTGTCCAAAAAAAAAAAAAAATTCAGCATTCTAATTGACAGGGCTAATCACACGAGTTAAACCGTAGCTAGGCCTGGCTACCAGTACCACTGTCCCTGTTTAATCAGATAACAGGGACGGGGGCCAGTCCACCGGTGCAGTAACGTTATGCCATAGGCCTAAATGTACTTGATCATGGGCGTGATGGAGTAGGCCTAGCGTTAGGTCCAGACACTAGGCAATAAGTTTCAGGAAGTTAATTCAACTCACACTTTCATACTGGGATTGCAGGCGTTTGCCTTCTTCTTCTTCCAATTGCCATCGTTTGACTTCAAGTTTGTGACGAACTTGGTCGCTTGTGTGATGAAAACGTTTCGATTTCTTTCCACGCGGTTGTGGATTTTTTCCTCTCGTGCGCTGCGCCATTTTGGATAATATCCCATCATTCCCTGCGCCGCGTTCCAAGTGAAGACTTCCGACGGCTGTTTTTCAACGAAGCTATTTTGAGTTTGATTTATCCTGTTATAATTAACATATCAAGTTGACTCGAATGTCTTTGAGATATCTTCATGCCAGTTAATATAGGGTGACATCGTTATATATGAGGGACATGGTGCTTAGTTTTTTTCTCCAAAACAATCTGAATGTAAAACGGACAGCCATAATCCAATTTTGGGGCAGCAGGCCGGCGGGTGGCAAAAGTGATGCCGTGTGATGTAACGATCTGTCACCCTCCCGAGCTCGGATGAGTGAGACGGTTACATCGGTTGAATTACCAAAATTAGCCTAAAAATAGTCGGCTTGAACATCGCGACATATAGACCTCTGGCCATTATATTTTTCCATCCTGATTTCGAGACTGTAACCCACATTTCTAATCCATCTTTGGAAGTTCTGAGCGTCTCGATTTTGCTATAAAATTCTGCCACTCTGCACTCTTAGCTACAGGGGCGTAGCCATGGGGGAGGGGCTCGTGCCCCCCTTGAAAATCCCTGGTGCCCCCCCCCCAAAAATAATAATGAACAAGGCTAACGATAACAAGCCCCTAAAAAACACACCACAGAAAGCTGGTGCCTCCCCATAAGATGCTGGTGCCCCTTGTGCCCTCTACTAATAACATCCTATATCTACACCACTGTTTAGCTATGACAATGGTCACCGCCACATGGGCATAATTTCTGAAGATGTCACTGTCGTCGTGTCACTGCTACCGCAGACAATATAATACCACTGAGTCACCTATGTTTGCTGCTGTCATTCAGTGAAAAGAAGATAACCTGATTTTGCCTTGTCCTTGGAAGGTTCAGCGGCCGGTAATGATACACCGCCCTCGACCTTCCATCCATCAAGCGGCTGAAACCCTCCTGCGTCAACCTAGAACTTGAGATTGACACGTGCCCCCATCGTTTCAAGCGGTCAGTTCAACAGCAAGGTCGGCCCACATTTTGGAGGCCAAGGTCGCGCGCCGCAAGCCAGCCGACCGAAAGATTCGCATTTCACACGAGCAAACCGCTCGGTTGATATTGGAGCATGGCCCGGAAATAAAAAAAAAAAAGAGTTCCACTGTTCGATTCACCGAATTGTATCGGTAAGCAAATATAGGTTTCATTTACCACGAAGTTTACTCGTCTTGACACTGACAACAGCAGTCTGTTTACTTAACAGGACGCAATGTAATTTGATCGACATTTTTTCGTTCCTTTATAAGGATTCTTTCAATTTCAACTCCCAACCTAGGTACTCTGGCCCAATTTTGCCAGGAAAAAAAAATCGATTAGTTGTCGAAGACGAGGCACTGAACCAGATATGTGGAACAGTCGTTCGGATGCAACAAAACTTAATATGTGCTGTGTCGGATTTCAACGTGTGGATTTAACAGAGAACAATATTGAAGACCAAAACGTATAGAAGATCAATATTTTGTGCGATTTAATTGTGTAACGTTTTCTTTTTCTTAAAAGATAAGGCATGGTCATATCTGTGACTTTCAAATGTGAAATTCGAATTTTTAACTGTTATCGCAGATGACGGGCATCGGTCAGATTTAAAGTACACTCTCGGTAGACATGAAAAGAAGAGACAACATGAAACAGGACTTTCCTTTTTTTTAAATTAAACTACAAAATTATCGCATGGCCTATTTTGTCCTCTGAAAGTCATACAATGCACTTCCCACGGATCGAGTCACACGCAGACAAAATAAAGTCATGTTCCAACGTAATACATAGGCCTACCATCAGAATTAACCGTTAAAATAAGAGACAAAAACAAATACCCATTTGTATTAACCACGGCGAGATAAACAAAACAAAAATACGTGTATAGAATATGAGAGAAGCCACAACCTTCATCAAGCAATATTTTTTGCCAGCGTGGACGAGGCCACAGATCGACCGACTAGTATTTTTGTAACCTCGCAGTGCAAGAAGCCACGGCCGGCTGTGCGCGCGTCAGATCGAAATTTCAAGGTTCAGAAAACGGGATGAACGAAGGAAAAAATGCAATGAAAAGGTTTGTGACGATGGGACGATGTTGAATGTGTGTGTGCGTCTGTTGGCTTTCATTTCTTTCCTTCTCTTTTCTCGTTGGGCAGGCCGTCGATGGGACGGAGTGTAAAATTCGGAAACATCTGTGCCTCAATTAAGGCTGGTCACATTTCCCGAAGTCACGTTGTACAAATCTTGCTCTATGCCTCAAATGTGGTGATTTAATTATTTTGATATCGAATTCTCTTGGTCTACGCGTTACTCTTGCTCAACGGCGCTTACTATGTAACACGTGTAGGCCTATGATGAATATTATTTTAAAAAAATAACACATCCGATGACTTTTCTATAAGAACTGGAGGGACGAATGGGACAAATTCTGGTAGGAAGCAAACTCTCCACTAGCTAGGATCGTGTTTACATCGCAAATATTTCACCACCCGGCTTCATATAATGGGCCGGTTGTTTTAGTTAAGGCCACGTGTCTGAGGCACGAGCCGCGGGCTTTAGCGAGTACCGTTCCCAAGGTCTTTTCCCTCCCACAGGAGCATTCTCCTGTATCGCGGTCGAGGCCACAAGACACACAAGAGTTTTGACCAATTTCGATGATTTTTTTTCTCTCTCCTTTCTCCTCGTCAGATATCAAAGTGAAGGTGGTGATAATTAATCCCACCTGTCGGCAATGAACTTGCTGGTCTCGGGGGTCATTGCTAGGTCGGGTCATCGTGTCGTTGTGAGCCGGTCAATGGCATCTAGAAAGGGGGTACCAAGAACCGCTGGCTGTACAACAGGAAAAGGCTGTACTGTCACAATGAGACGACGGACCGTGACTGTGTTTACGGTAATAAACCCTCCAAATACATGTAGCTACTTTAGAGGTCACAAAACCTTTATACACAGATCCGTAATAACATTGCAATAATGGGTCTATTACAGGTCAAAAGGTTGAACTTTTAAATGCTATACCATACGCTTCATGTTTACACAGTTGAGTTATTGGCAGGTTATGTGCGCTATACCTAATTAATGAACTAAGGTCTGCACATTGTAAATAGGGCTGGGAACAAAAGGCCATTTTTTAACGAAAGAACGTGAAAATGAACGAAGACAGTAGACGATCTTTTCTGCCAATTTAATTTTTGGGCAATATGCCAACAAAAGAAATATGTTTCGAAAAAAGCCAGTTCGCAATGTGATCCTTTCGGAAAGCATCGCGGCAAATTTATGGGAAGATACAAGTCCGTTCTGTTGTTTAACATACTCATCGCTGATGTCACGTCTTTGGCATTGGAGGTAACTCGCCGAGAGTGACATTGCGGAAAGACTCATTGCCTTTTCAGTTTTGCAAAGTGACTTCCGGCCCAAACTTTGATGCGCCACATGAGCTGAATCTGAACCCGCCCAAGCGCAAGCGTGAGAAGCAAAGCGTCTCGCACTGTGCCTACCCTTAAAACCAATTCGGCCGTTCCTTCTTGGTCATTCGATTATTCCGAATATGCCTGAAGTGTCAAGTGTCGGTCAACTCATCTCGGTAACACGATTTGCTGGTACACGTTGAAAAGTGAGACTGTGTGAACCAACTATTTGTCTCGTGGGTGTATTTGCTTTTTGAACAATTTTTTTTTTACAGTGGACAGGAAACACTTTTGTCTTGACTGTTACGATGAAAAAATATGCTTTATAAAGGCTCTATGAAAAAGACATCAGTCCAGCAATAAGTCTGAAAAAAAATACAATGCAAGTATATTTTTGTAAGTCAATCTCTAACAAATAAAAATTCTCAAATAGCATTATATTTCTGACCTATGCACCTTGCACTGAACACTGAACTCGAGATATGCGTCCTTCGGGAGTAATTAACAAAAGTTAATTGTTTCAGCGTCTAGATCAAAGAACCTGCATTGTTCCCTCGTTGAACAACCAGTTGTTTTAATATCATTATGCTGGATGTTAGGTGTACAGGTAATTAAAAATTGGCACTTGAATTGGTGACACTTCCGTCATTGACGCGAGTGGTGTTTAAAACTGCACGTACCGCTCGGTGAGCCGTCCGCGGTATTAAAATAGATCGGCTATGGCTGACCGCAACACGGTGTGGATTTCGGCATCTCGGTTTAGCTGGCCACAGGTGGTGAACTGGATATAATACACAAGGCGTGGGTTCAACCAACAGACAAGTTTAGGGGAGGACCGGCCCCCAAAATAGCAGTTAACCTGCCGCGGTCTCGGCATCGAAATGTTAAAAATCAGGGTTTATCTCTAATAAGAGATGCGATGCTTGCAATGGTCAGCCACAGAGGCCGAAGTTTCCTGAAAACGCTACAATTTATCGGCTACTCAGCTTATCAATTCAAAATACGCCGGCAGAGGAGGAAAATGCATTAATGCGACCTTATGGTGACCCCGTGCTGGAAAAAAAGAGGACTCTGTCGGGCAGTAAGCTGTGTTAAACTTGGCTTGAATCATAGGGGATAATGGAAAAATGGGAAAAATTGACCTACCTGGGCAAGTTATGACTTTGTCCCTGACCGCTGATGGAGGTCAAGTATATGAGAGAGCAGGGATGCTTCGCTGTTTTAATGAGGGCAAGTCATCCATCGAGCTTGCAGTCAAGGTCGCGCGGGTAGTCAAGTGGTCAGGACGACTCCATTAACCACGTGCCCTGCGTGCACTGAGGGAAGGAGGCTTCGCACGAGGGAGACTGACCCATCCGAGGCTGCAAATTTGGTGGGTAATTCACCTCACCTGAAAATCAACAGGACAGAGTGAGAGTGTTTCGGTTGTCTGCAGCTGATAAAGGAGCAAAATATGAAACTCATCACAACCACAAATAAGGGACTGAAATTTGTGGACATACAAAGTTTGACCTTTCATGGTAAATCAATCACAGATCCAAGAATGAATTGGGTGGTTGTTTTAGAAGCTCCTGGGTTGACTGAGCCCAGTTTGGAAAAACGGGTAACG